TTCGATTCCCGGTCGACTTTAGATTAGAGTGTGCGTTTTCCTTGCATTGTCACAGTGTATGTCGCTGTGTGACGATGCGAAAATTCACTTCTCAGGTTGAGAAGACCGGAATACGGCGTGGGGATGTCTACGTGCTAAGCCACACGTACTCCCTTAATCTACGGCCGCGAGGCAGGGACGTCGCCGGTAGGCCTGAGCCCGTTCACAGACTGTCGCGCCAAGTACATACATACATATTGTACAATACATAAATACATACCGTAATTATTGATTCGAGAAAAGGTATGCGTTTTTTAGGAATTTACAAATGTAATTAATAATGGAAGAATCAAATAGACACAAACGTATCTAATTGCACTGAGAAAAAAAGTAATAAAAATCCTAACTGGTTTAAAATGCATTTTCTTTGCTCACATTCTGTTTTAAAGCTCATTTTTAATGTCGTACGCTGAACAGTAGTAATATAAACTTTAAATAAAACGAGATTATTTAAATAATGAAATACAGAACGATATTTGGAATCTTTTCTTACATTTCAAGAAATTATAAAATGTTTAATTATTGCATTTTTACAATTTTCATTTAATCTGTGATTTCGACCCATTGGCGTATTGTGTAGTGAAAGAAGGAAGACAAGAATACAGATCGTCAATCATTTTCAGATAACTACTTAAAATATTGTTGCTAAAGCTTGAACATCATCTTGAAACACTGACTTGTTATCGTCTTCCCCTTCGAAACTCATGCCTCAAGGACATTTATTCTAATTGAAACAATTAAAAATATTCTGTGGAACTGTTGCGGTTGTTCTCTTATCATATTTTACGATTAAATTTTATGTAGAAGACCATTTTTACTTTATTGTCTCCTCATGGTGTTTTCTTAATTTGTTTTCAATAGTTGGAAAACGTTTATTAGCAAATAAATTTGAAAACATACTGGTATAGAATTTGGCCGCTACTGCCTACTATGCTTATTTAAACTTAAATTTGTTTTATTTAATCAAAGATCAGAAAAAGCTTATGTGATATGTTGGGAAGCCCCACCTGCGCAGGTTTTTTTGAGCTGCAGAATCTCTTCCCAAAGTTTTAACTACAAAAAGTTGAATGATGAATAAACGTCCAAAAATAAAATAAATTAAACAAAAATTCTCTTAAATGACCTTCTCCGTATCTAACAACAAAATTTAATCAAATACGCTGGAGACATTATTTCGAAAATTTGAAAAACGCCCCAGGGGCTTCATGTAAAGTACCCCCGAAATTAAAATATCGGTACCAATTCATCATCTGGCCGTGACATCAGCCAGATCGATTGGCGAACATCAATGTTGGAGAAAATAGGCTGAATGGTTAAGCCACTAGCTTTGTGCACAGACAGTCGGAGAGGCGGAGGGACAGTCAAACGTTTGGACGTCAATCGATTTTTCGGTATCAAGGGCCTACAAAAAATAGATCCAAGCTACATACATGCTAGAGGGTTTCGTTTCTGAATTTAGCGATTGGATTTATCCACTTTTTCTTTACCCTGGCCCTATTTAATGAGTTTTTTAGTAGCAATTACGTAACTTTCTCTTACTCTGTAGCAAAAACTTAACTAAAGAGCTCAACAAAACGTACGCATAGATAACATATATTTATGTCCAGAAGCAAAATAAAGGGATTGGTAAAGCAGAATTCTGAAATATTGGCAAATAATTAATTATTAATTAAAAGATTTTAATTTCTTACAGAAATAAATTTTTCGAGGCAAGAATGTCTTTTTTTATTCTACCTAGTCAAGAATACTTCTGACAGGTACGGCATGGAAGACATATCATTTCAAATTTTTATTAGCGCGTGCAACAATTACTTCAACATCCATTGACCAAATTATTAGAATTTGTATTAGCTTTATCAGAATCCTAATTATTTCGACGCTAAAACCGGACTGCCGATAAGATTCGAGTAATGTGAGATACTGCTATATTGCAATAAGGCCGTTTATTACTCTGGAAAAACACACAGAGTAATCGACAATATAAAGATATTTATAGGATATTTTATTAATGAACAAAAATTATGATGAAGTTGAAGTCGAAGTATCGTTAAAATAGTTTGTTCACGCGTTCCTGTTGTCAACTGTTGTTCTTTCCATGCAAATATGCAAAATAATGTAATAATTGGTAACAAAAATATTAAAAGTTGTATTGTTGGATCTTGAAAAAATTACGGGCGTTTACATTGCTTCTCAGTAAATAGTAGTTAATTTAGGAACATAAAATCCTCTTCGACAACCGCAGAGTTAGCATCTTATCATGTAAAATGCTCTGAGTTGTATCTCGTAGCAAAATAAAATTATGACGGTAAGAATTTAATGTTTTATTACATCGTTGTAAAGAATAGGTACATCGCAAAAGAGACTGTCAAAAACGACTATTTTAAATTATGAAATCACCGTGTATGCCGAAGTGTAGGGAAATGTAGATGGCTTGAAATGTGTTTTTGTGTATTGACTACAAAACGCGAACGCCAACAAGAATTATATTGCAAAATATGAGAGAGGTATCAGCGCTGTGTAACACAAAATCACGGCGTTCAATGGACGGTATGATAGGCCCACCCATTTGACACAAAACAAACAGCAGTAATTAATATTTAATTATCTAAAGGGGGATTCAAAAACCGGAAGAGAAGGAATAAAATCTTTTGAACGAACGTGAAGTTGTTATAAATAAATAAAATACTAAAATATATTTGCTTTGGAAATTAAACTGTAGGTACTGCCCGAAGTACGGGTTTTTGATACATTGAATACATACCAAAAGTCTGGTAAAATCTTGATCGTACTGAATAAGATCATATGCAACAGCCATCAAGAAGAGAGGAAAGTGGAATAATCATCCCTTTATTTATTAATATCGCTTTTGTTGTCAATATTTTGAAAGTATTTCCGTTTTCGGGCCCTTTTACATTATTTTATATCTTTTTTTGTATGTATGAAAAGAGGGTAAAAATGGTGTTAGTCGGCAAACTTCCCATATTTTCGAAAATTACCAAAATTTATATTTCAAAATTACAAATTTGAAAATAAAGTTTTTAGCCATATCTGTTCTAAAAAAATCATGTCTTTAAAAAGGGCATGCGTTTTATAAAAAAAAGAGTAGTTGGTTGAAATTAATGCAAATTATAACGAGAATTGTTTTGCAAAAACTGCTCAATTTTTTTTCATTAAATGTTTTCCATGTATGAAACAAGGAACGCTTAAAAGAATGAAGTAGAAAATTGCATTTTTAAGAGTCGAAACTCACGGCTTTTCCGTAGCGTAGAGGTGTGGATCGCGGACGGAGTTAGCTCGGAGGATCTGAGTTCGACTCTCGGTGCGGAAAAACGATTGCTAATTTAAAAACACTTTTGCAGGTTCATGTAGTAGTACAATATAGCGGAGCAGTTAGAAATAATACGAGAAAGTACGTGCGGTTGTAGCTCGACAACTTTACGTTTATAACCCTGTCTTTGCTAATGACGCTGCATAGCAACTGAATAGCAACTGAACGAGGGAACCTTGATCTGAATGAGCGCTGATGACGTTCTCAGAGCTGATAAGGGCTATTGCGAGACAGTTACACACGCCGTTTGTCTCACTCAGATAACCTTCTCTGGAAATTCGAGTATAACACTAGAAACTTGCTGATCTATATTGCGTCTCAGTGTCCGCAGAAATTATTATTGTCGTTGATTGACACATCACACACGGTTACTGCACCTGATAAAGTATTCTTGTCTTTGGTACTAAACGATTAATTCAGGAATAGAGATAAAACCATGTTTGCGTGTGTGTAATCAAAGAAACCAAAGATACTTACGGTACCTAAGAGGTTCTCTAAGTCGGTGAAATTATTTTTGTTAAATAGTACAAAAAACAGCCCTCCTTTGTTATAATTCAATTATATTTAGTGTATCAATTTTTATGATATATATTTATATTGATGTCCTCCGTCCTCCTTGTTGCTTAAGTTCTGATTTGAGTATTTTATTGTTATATATTTCCTACAGTTAACAAATAAAAGATAACTATGTTAAGTTGCAAATCAACAAAATTCTTAAATATTTGAAGGATGCCAGTAATAGTCGGCTTCCCCCAGTGCAAATGCATGGAAGAGACTCTTGTTCTGTCGCTTTGGAATCCCGGAGTTGCTACTGAACTGGCTTCCTTGCCTTCCGGAAGCAGGAAACGGTGGCCGATACACATCCGGTCACCGAAGGACAGAACTAGTTTTCGTGTCAAAATTAGACAGAATGAAGCAACTTGAGAGTATAAGCTGTTAACCTACTTTTAAGACAGCGTATACCCGAAAATCCAAAGTTACGTTTAAGTGATAAAGAAAACGACTAGTGGTGCTAAAAGAGCAGATACTTTCTCACCCGTTGTTTTTTTACGCAAAATTATGGAAAAAGTTCTCAGTTTTTCAAACACTGTACATGATATTATTTAAAAATCCATCTCTCAGGAACGAATTTCATTTCAAGGGAAAAATTTCGCATTAAGGGGAAAATATTATTTTAGTTCTTGGAAGCCTCCGAAAAAAGTTTGCAACTTTCGTAAAATCAGGGTTTTTAACGAACATAAGACCTACCAAATTCTCTTAAACGTCTTTTACGTTACCAAATAACAAACTATAAACAAAAACAATGCAGCAATAAAAAATCAAAATTATATTAAAATATAACCATAATACACGGTTGGGCAGGCAAGGGCTGGAAGAGAACACCGAATTTTCCACGAAACGCTCACACATGACGCTGGGATCCTCATCTGATGTAATACAACTGCTTAAGCCAAAGAACGGAAAAGGGTACTCACTGACGATACGATCATCAATCAACCGACAGTACTATACGGTTGGGCAGGCATGGCTGGAAGAGAACACCGAATTTCCACGAAACGCTCACACATGACGCTAGGATCCTCATCTGATGTAATACAACTGCTTAAGCAAAAGAACGGAAAAGGGTACTCACTGACGATGTGGATCATGAAGGAGGCGAACACCACCACCCACCCCCAGCCGCCGTCGGGGGGCGGGGCGGGGCCGCTTGCGGTCGCCTCGTCCGCGTCGCCCTCGTCGCCCGCGCCGCCCACGGCCGGGCGCGTCTTGGCCACCAGGCGCTCCGCCCCCGCGCCCGCCCCCGCGGTCGCCGCCGCCTCCGCCGCCTTCCCGCCCGGCGGCGCCAGCAGCTGCACCACCTGCGGACAGCGCGACAGCTCAGCACGCCGCTCCGGCGCAGGGCGGCAATGGATAGCACACAGCCTGCGTAGCCACATTCAGCAGTTTTGTCTCCTAAGATGAGTATTTTATGGATCTCAGGGCAGCAATGGATAGCACACAGCCTGCGTAGCCACATTGAGCAGTTTTGTCTCCAAAGATGGGAATTTTATGGATCTCAGGGCAGCAATGGATAGCACACAGCCTGCGTAGTCAGTTTTGTCTCCAAAGATCGGAATTTTTGGAGCTCAGGGCAGCAATGGATAGCACACGGCCTGCGTAGTCAGTTTTGTCTCCAAAGATCGGAATTTTTGGAGCTCAGGGCAACAATAAATAGCACACAGCCTGCGTAATCAGATTGGGCAGTTTTGTCTCCAAAGACGGGGATTTTATGGAGCTCAGGGCAGCAATGGATAGCACACAGCCTACGTAACCAGATGGAGCACTTTTGTCCGCCAAGATGGGGATTTCGTTTCTCAGCGGGGCAAGAATGGGGATCAAGGCAGCAATGGATAGATAGCCCACAGCCTGCGTAGCCAGATTGGGCAGTTTTGACCCCCAACATGGGGATTTTGTTTCGTAGTGGGGAAAGAATGGGGAATGTTCGAGGATTTTGGGGGGAAATTATTTTCATGTGTAGTCGAGAAAGAAATATCTTTTTTCTCAATTATTTATAAAAAAGAAACAATATGCAATATTCTGTCACATTTTAATGTATCAAAAAGAAAAATAAACAACAGGCATACAGAAAGAAAAACAGGAGAAAAAATGCTTTGAGCAGTTGAAAGGACTATGATTGATTGATTTAATAATTTGAATTTAAAGGGACAGCCAATGGAATAGCTAGGGACAGGTACTTCTCGGACATACGCCTGGTGTAGATCGGAGAAACCACGAAAAATTCCCGATCAGAGCAGATGACCGCTGGAATTCTCCTCCAGACAGTGGTGGAATGATGCAATTTAGAGCGATAAGCGCGGGCATGGGTATTACATGGGCAACTTTTCTTGAATTATCATCTTGCTTCCCTCTCTGACACAATAAACAGTTGAAGACAAAAGTTCGCATCGTGTACTAATGCTAACATTTTTAAACACAACTCACTCGCGCGTAATAGAAACTGTATTGTGCTCGAGAGGAGAACTTCTATCCGTGATTTTCTCCAAAAAATCTAAAGAAATGACCGAAGCAGGTGAAGATCCATCACAGGAGATACCTCGAACTCCTGAGAAAGTTAGAGCGCAAATTATTGAGAAAGTTGCGAAGGCATGACTGATTCTCCAGATTGGCATTGCTTCATCTAATCTAGTGCCTCATTACTTAACAAATATCCCCACTCTACCCGCATTTCTTTAATCCATCGTTCAAGAAAAGTTGCGCGAGTAATATTTACGGAAGTAGACCATGCTCAGCAGGTGACGAGTAAATGTTGCAGTACTAATTAATGCTTCTCTGCAGTTTTGTTCAATTCTCATTAGTGAATATAAGTTTTACGTAATGAATCTTTATTAAAAGAAACAAACAATAAAGATGATTATAGTTTAAAATCAATTTACTGTCATGCAGCTTTAAACGACGTGATATCACATTTCAATATACTTGTAAATAAGTATAAAGAAAAACAATTGTATATAGAAATTATGTAATGTCAAAATAAAGTAAACATTTTAGCTAAAGGAAATATAATTGTGAATGAAGTAGATTATGCTTAATTACAGAAGACGCTGGTGGTATTGATGTTTTCATTATTCACTAATTAATCTGGCTTAACATCAGAAGGAAATTCACTTGGACAATATTCGTGTACTTAGTGGTTTACATCTATTGCTGGTTAGAATATGAAACATTTGGATGATTCTGGGCGCGGTGAGACTGCCCCAAGCACTCATTAGAACTTGCCTCCTTCAGTCCCACACTCTTAAGCGATGACGATTGCGTATTACTTAACTGCTGTAGTGGATTGTCGAAAGACTTCAATTGCGTGTCGTCTGATGCATTCCCAGGTTGGCTGACTCCAAACTGCTCCGTGAGATGGGGATATGGGGTGATGTGTGATTGTGTGGGGAAACAGTTACTTGAAAGAAACGATGAATCGTCGGCGAACGACGTAAACGAGTCGCAAAAGTCATCCATGGCCCTGTGTTTAAGACGCTCTGCGGGTTAGTCGTCCTCAGTTTGACGATTCTTCTTTCAAATAAACACACAAACAAACTTGAAGTAAATTCTTCACACAACTTACACCGACACACGTGCAAATAAAATTTCGCTTTATTTAGTGTAAAACTGTCCTTTCCAATATGAAAGACAGTTGTCAACTGAACCTAAAACTTTTCGCTCCACCACAAGGCTAATCTCTATACGCTCGGAATGATAAAGTATCTTGTAAATACTCGAAAGTGGTATTAAGGAATATCTTCTATCTTCATCAGATGTCTGTAATTGTTATATGCCCACTCCCTTTTTGAAAGAAAAATCCGACGAGATAAAAAGAGACTCAATGATGTCTACATTTTTCATGATTAGAGAAGTGTGTAATTATGTAATAATATAAAGATAGTAGGAACTATTTGTAACTCCGCATGCTCACTGAATTCTGGCAAATCTTTATAATGGGTTCTGCGTCAGAATGAGTTACGAAACAGATTAAACTTTTGTCGGCTCTCTCGAACTCGCATTCGACTGTCGTATTCTATTTTTAAATATTGGCAGAAATATCATTTAAACTTGAAACCTCCACTTCAGGTTATTAAAGCTAAAATTCGTGAGCAGTATTTAATATTTTACATTTATAAAATAAAAATACTTCACATGTATTGAAGTGACAAAATATAAATTAAAAATAAATTGATAGGATAGTGGTTAGTGGTCCATTTTTAACTATCGTTGAATTCCAATTTTGTTTTCGACCCATAAGAATTCAAATTGTTTCCGCTTGGATCGATATCGACCAAATAAACCGTTTTTAATTTTTTTTCATATATTTGTTAGTATAAATTCCAACGAACATTCCACTCGGTACAAAATGAAAGTACACAACATTTTATTAGTGATGTATCCGTATATATTTTTAATACCGGTATTTTGTTCACACCATAACAGAAATATATTCAAAAATTAATAGGATCTTTGCCGTAGAAAATTAAATCTAAATTAATTTTGTAAGTGATATAACTTTCTATAAGATTGATAGTAACGTAGAAAGTGCAAAAAACTGAACAAACTTAAACAGCTTCCCCATCCACGGCTTATACCCAATTCTCCAGACGTTTTTAGTACGATGTACTGCACTATCAACGTACTGTCATAACAAATTTCGAAACTCAGAGATTTTTTTCACTCGATTTTTACTTTACCGCTATCCTTTACGCAGTAGAGAGGAAATTATGTAGTGCTGCACGAAAATGGCGAATTTTTGGCAGGAAAATTCTTATTACAGGGTCTTGAAAACGGAATAAATACACGTGCTAAATTTATTTAAAAAAATTCTCTAATACGTGAAGAAACCCATAAGTCAAGTGTAGGACGTCCTTGGATTTCACGTTTCTGGGTAGAAGGACCACCGTCGCCTCACGGATTACAGCGTGAACTACACTTTCGGGATTAATGATTTTTTTTTTATCAATGGAAACGGAGTCAATATCCAGTTACTCACTCGAAGAGGGTCTTCAATGGGCCCTCGTTTATCCCCTCTCCACCGTCAGCTCCTTCCGCCTACATTTACTCCATTGTTCCTACTTATCCTGTCTTATTGTACTTGAAAAAAGCTGAACAGGATGGGGTAAGGTAAACGACGGATTAATGCGACATCACTTTAGTCCATTTTCGTGTATGCGACAAAATTTCCACTCGCTAACGTTTGTCTGGTGTTAGGAAAGTAGAAGGGGAACAATTTTTCTGGGTCAATGTTGATAGAAGTATGTCGAAAATAGAAAAAGAAATCCCTCATTATTTATATTTGGCACGCTGTAAAACATGACACACATTGCTTTGGAAAGCTCTGGGCTACTCGATCTCATTGTGCCATTAACGTTCAGTTGCCAGTTATCAGTGGACCAACGATTATGGTTGACCAACGATAAAATTTCCGTTTTGGAAAATTCATTTATCGGTTAAACATGCGACAAAATACCATTCAAGGGAATACAAGTACAAAACCTAATTATGGGGTGATAGGTGCAATTACTGCGCCATAGAGCACTTGCATTATTAATTATTTCATGAAAAACAGGGTATTATTAGTTATTTTTATATTATTAGTACTTTTATTGAATTATTTGAATGATACACAATTTTTACCATTTTATAAAATATATAATCACATTTGGATAGTAATTGATATCGTTTTTCTACATTTTTATACTCTATCACTTATTACATTTACGAGTATCATTGATTCAATATGAAACATACTAATGATTAAAATCAAATGTATTTTATTGCGAGATTTTCAAATAATATCAAATCAAAAGATACTAGTTATATAGACATCCCCATTGTCTTAGAAACACATTTTATTACTTAGAAATGTAAGGAAACTATTAAGTGATGTTAATAAAATTTACGTCTTTTAATACCCGTAATATTATTTATTATAGTCTTAGAAATATGAAATTAACGTAAATTTGCTTGTGTTCGTGATATTAATAAACAAACAAGACCATGTATGCATAGTTTAGGGCCGAAAATACACAACTGTAAGCTTGTGTTGCCACTCCAACACATTTAATGTGAGGTCTGTGGCACGCTCTTTGTGTCGATTAATTTTTCATCTGGATGATAATGAAACTTATCGGAAGGGAGATTGGTGTACCAGAGGGCCCGTAGGGTCATTCTACCCCACGACATTGAAAGGTCTCGTACATCACGGCACTCTTGCAGAACGTCAAGTGGGACGGTCTCGCCCACCCTCAACAGGGTCCAAACCTCTCTCCCTGCGAATGCGCCATTTTTGGTCCCGTAAAAAATGGGGGACCTTTCCCCT